GGGGGGGGCTGACATCATCATAACTCAGGCGGTCAGCCCGTCGAGCGCGCGCCACATGCATCTGGATACAGAACTGTCGCTGGACACACGGGGGTGAGGAGTGTGGGGGCCGCCAGGCCGCGGAGGCAAGGCACTGAGGCCGCGGAGGCGGAGGCCAGGCACTACGAGGCCGCGGCCCCGCCGGCGGCGCCTCGACTAGCGCGCAGGCCTCCGCCATCTATCTCCGGCCATGTTTCGCGGCGACAGTTATATGGGGGAGCTTTCTCAACTGCTGCGAGCCGAGCCAAGCAGTCCAGCACCCCGGCAGCGCGGCAGCGCGGCGCGCGGCAGGTGGGGGGAGTGGCGGGGCGGGGCAGGTAGGCTCGCAGCAGTGACCGACCCCAGCATCCCACGAGGACCCACTACTTGGTGACACGCTATCTCATCCCGGCCCGCCACCTGCTGCCTTCAAAGTTTCGACCATCTTATCCCCCTTGCGTTTCCTCCCCCAACCCCCCACCTCCGCGACTCCCTAGAGCCTTACGAGCAATTCCCGGCAACACGGTGATGTGGCGAGGCTCCGCTGCTGGGCTGGTTGGCTCTAGGCCCTCGCCTCGCCGCGGGGCCCCCGCCCCGCCCCTCCCCCTCCCACCGCGTCAAGCCATCACCGCAAGTTGGAACGGCCCACTCGGACGCCACCTTAAGCGGGGCCCTGTGCCGTGAGCGGCGCTAAAGAACGAATGGTGCGGAAGCAGCACCTGCCCCGGCGCAACGAGGCCCAACAATGCATAAATATCGTGGACATCCTGCGTCACCGCTAAGTGTCTGACATTACATTGGCGTCAACATATAACGCTGAAGCTGGAGTTCTGGCCGGACTTCTACAGAAATCGCACTTAAGTCATGCAATTAGGCGAGCAAGATTTAGAAGTTGAGTGATCCCTCGCGCACGTACCTCGAAGCGGAAGGTCCAGCCGTCCAGCGACAGCAGGCGCAGGTTGGCGTTCTTGGCGAGCGCGGTGAAGACCTGCTGTGCGGGCCCGTCGGGCAGCGAGAGGCGGGGCGAGGAGGCGTCCAGGAGCTGCAGCGGCGGGTCGGCGGCGAGCGCCAGCAGCGCGGGCAGCACCTCCCAGAGGCGGGCCGCGCCCTCCAGCCGCAGCGCCGTCAGCGAGCCGCCCCGCACCGCCGCGCCCAGGCACGTCGCATCGCCGGGCGACAGCAGGCACTTGCTGACGTTGAGGTTCCGCAGCTGGCAGCTCGCGTCCCGGATCGCGTCAAACACGTCGTGGAAGCCGGAGCCCGCGTGCGAGGCCACGTCGCAAACGGGCAGCGCACCCGTGGCCTGCCCGCGCCATAGGAGCTGAAAAACAGGAAAGCCAAGGTTAGGCGAGCGCAGCAGTCACTCAGAATGAAAATAAAATAAATGAAAGATCACACCCCAACCACACACACACACACACATAGTAGCATATTCGCATACCGAATCAGAGCCGCGCTTGGTGTCGGCGCTGCCGTAGCCCGAGTCGGTGGCGCCGCCGCCCGGGGTGGGGCCCGGGCCCAGCCCCAGGATGTGGGCGGCCAGCGGCTGGCGGGGCAGCGTGGCGGGCCGAGACAGCGAGCCGTGCAGCCCCAGCGCGCCCCGCGGCAGCGACGAGAAGCACGATCCGGACCCGCCCGAGCCTAAGACAGAAGATAAATCTAGAAATCATTTAGAAAAGTTTATTGTTCCAGTCATTTTCTTCCGCTTAAAATTCGACCGGACATACTTTAAGTTCAACCACGTATCATCGCATATAATGGAATACGCGAGTAAAACTTAAATTAGTGTGATAGTGACGAGGAATCTACAGAAACGAGAAGTAGGAACAAACACGAGGGGTGCGAGAATAAAAAAATCTGGTAAACAATAAAATGAGCAGGCCGCTTGGGTGGGTCGACCGCAGCTGCAAAATGGATTTAAACTTGTTGAGCGCGCGAGGCGTAGCGCCCCGAGTAGCGCCCTCTATCCCCTCCCTCAGCGCCCGAGGGTAGGCAGTCCCGCCACACAGCCGTGCCTCTGATTGCCTACCCCCCAGGCGCTCGTCGCAAGCTAACTCACCCATGCTGCCGCCGCTCTCCGATGCGCCGTGGTTGCGAGCGCCCCAGGACCCGGCCAGGCTGAGGGCGTCGATGGCGTGGTGCGCGCGCAGGTGCTGCGTGAGGGCGCGCAGGCCGGCCGAGCCGCAGCCCAGGTGCGGCAGCTGCAGCGTGCGGACGGCCGAGCCACGCAGAGCAGAGAGCAGCTGCTGCAGCTGCGCGCAGTTGAGGTTGATGTCGACGAGGAGGCGGGCTACGGCGCAGCTGGGCGAGCGCAGGCCGGTGCAGAGCGCGTCCACCAGGCACTGGAAGCGGTCGTGCGCGCTCTCCTCCAAGCAGGCCACCACGAGCTCGAAGGCGTGCGTGCGCGCGCGAGACAGCACGGCGTGCAGCTGCTTGGCCAGGCGGTGCAGCTGGTGCGCCGAGAGCTCGTGTCCGAGCAGCGTGGACACGCGCACGCTCCGGACCGACCGGTTCGCCGAGAGCGCAGAGAAGAGCGGCTCCAGGCGGCCGTCGCCGTCCGCGGCCACGACCAGCTCGAGGGAGGCCAGCGTGCAGCTGGGCGTGCGCAGGACGCAGGCCCAGCCCTCCAGCTCCAGCTCGCGGCAGTGCACCGTGGCCTGCACGCCCTGGTCCGGGCCCGGCCCGGCCGCCGCCCCCAGCAGCCGGCACGCCGCGTCCACGTTGTCCTCCGAGGGCCCCGCGGCGCGCAGCAGCGGGAAGACGGAGCGGGGCGTGGCGTCCAGCGGAGAGAACTGCCCCAGCACCAGGTGGCCGCGGCGGCCCAGCAGCCCCAGCAGGAACAGCAGGACGGTCTCGGCGGGACCGCCCGTCTGCTCGCCCAGGCCGGCGGACAGCGCCTCGGACAGCCCGGGCAGCAGCTGCAAGTCGCGGCGCAGGATATTGGCGTAGCTGGCCACCGAGGCCATGTAGTAGGCGGCCAGGAACTCGGCCATGGAGCGGAAGACGGGCGTGTAGAACTCCATGGCGCGGCGGGAGGCGGCGGCGCGGCCGAAGTTGAGGCCGCGGCACAGGAAGCCGAGCGAGGCCACGCCCGCGGCCGAGCCGCAGTGCACGCGCAGCTCGTTGTCAGTGTACATGACGCGGTCGTCCTTCATGGCCACGAGCGCAAGCCGGCCCAGGTCGGCCAGCACCTTGCGGCTGTGCGGCGGGATGTCCGACAGGGCGGGGCTGACGGGCGGCAGCAGGGTCTGGCCGCGGCGCGCCAGGCTGCGCCGCACCACGCAGCGGAACAGGGCCTGGTGCAGCTGCAGCGGGTCCTCGGGCAGGTCCTGCACGTCCTGGAACAGCGAGCACAGCGCCATCCAGCCGAGCGGCGCCCGCGCGAGCGGCTGCAGCGTGTCCTCCGAGGCGGCGAGCGCGTCCAGGAAGCGGTCCGCCATGTCGTCGTCGTTGAAGAAGGTGCGCGACAGTGACTCGACCTGCGGCCACTGCAGCCCGCTCAGGAGCACGCGGCGCTGCATGGACGAGGCCACCTCGTGCGCCCAGCCCGAGCCGCAAGTCAGCACGACGCGCGCCTCCTTGAGCAGCCGGCCCTCGAGCAGGTCGAGCGCGTCGCCCAGCGCCTCCCGGCCGCCGGGCACGCCGGGGTAGCCGCGCACCGCCTCGTCGTAGCCGTCCAGGACGAACAGAAGCCGCTCCTCCAGCCCCATGATGGTGCGCCAGATCTGCAAGAGTACATAGGTAGAAACGTATTCTGTAAATCTGCAGTAATACTGTCACATTGAATTAATTGAAATATCATTGCGTTTCTTTTGGTCGCCACAAATTTGGTAAGTGAAAGACAACCGGAAGGTGAACTGCCCGTGAGAAATGGGATGCAGCCATAAATGGTGGAATCAAATCACTGGAGGCGTTGGACAGCCCACCACCAACCTGACCCTTCCAGAGTCCCCAGCGATCGGCTCTGGCCATAAGTGAATAGTTGGTCGGAATGTCGAATGTCGAACTCCGGTCCAGTGGGGGGTTGTCCAATGCTGGACAGGCTGGCACGAGCGCCCGAGGACGGCCGGGTAGGCCACCCCGCCTCGCACGGGCGCGTCGCGGGTCTGTCTACCCGGCGTCCTGCAGGGGATCTGCCGCAGAGCCCTGCACCGAGCGAGCATCGGATGCCTACATGGCGTCCGAAAGCGGTAGTGGGAGCGAGAAGCTCGCGCCGGGCCATAGCTCCCTCTCACTCCGATTCGCTTTCGGACGCCATGTAGGCATCCCAGGCCGCTCGGATGCAGGGCTCTGATCTGCCGCTGTGTCCACGGCGTCCACCCCCACCAGCAGTTGTTAAGTCACCTTATCAAAGTTGGCAGGCACGGCGGACTTGGGCAGCAGCTGCTTGCCCAGGTAGGCGGCGAGGGTGTTGCCGCGCAGCTCCCGCAGCGGCACGAGGAAGGCGAGCGTCACGTCGGGCGGGATCCAAGGCGCGCCGTCGGCCCAGGCCGCCAGCAGCCGCAGCGCCAGCGTGGTCTTGCCCATGGCGGGCCCCGCCTCCACCAGCACGCGGCGCGGCGCCTCCAGGACGCCGCCGTCCGCCGTGCGCACGGGCGAGAGGATCTGCTCGAGGCGGATGTCGACGCGCTGCGTGTCCCCGGTCAGGATGCACACGGCGGGGTCCATGCGCTGCGGCGCGGTGGTGCCCGGCGGCAGCGGTGGCGCCCAGGGCGGCGCGTGCGGGGGGTCGCGCCCGCCCAGCTCGCGGTGGAAGGCGCGCAGGAACCGGCGCACCCGGCCCACGGGCTCGCCGCCGACCTGCGGGTCACACAACAGAACCAATTAGACATTAAGTCGAGTTATAGAGCTATAAAAGTTATGAATAAAATAACTTAAACTAAATTTCAAATTTAACAGATGGAAAGTTTTTGACACTACCAATTCCAAAACGGGTTACGTTTGCATGACTGCGTGTAGGTTGATAGTAATACAACTTTGTGACGGACATACTTTGCAGATAAACCCTCAGGCAGGAAGGCGCCTTCAAGTGGGAAGTCCGGCCACCCCTGGATCTTCTCTGAGATTGTCACACATTATCTAATGAGTGTGCCATATGGCAATAAGCACTTGGGTGGTCGAGTGCCTCTCGCCTTGTCGTCGATGACGAGTGCCCCCGGCTAACCATTATGAGATATAAACACCAAAAATTCAAAACAAACAAAAAGTAAAATTTGCATGCCCGTCTGGAAGTTACAGTTACAGTTAAAAGCCAAGCCGAGGTGAGGTTCTTTTACGTAACAGAGGACAACAAAGGCTTCACATTTATTTTTATTTATTTTTTGCCGCCTGGGAGCGACCTGTTCAGGTTTGGCTGCTTCTTGGAGTCTTGCGCTTGCGCGCTTGCGCGCTTGCGCCCTGGCTCTGGCCGCCCTCACTCACTGGCAGGCTGCCAAGCTGTCAGGAGGGAGGGACGCACGCGGCACTTCGTGGCGGTACTGGGTCAGGTCAGGCCGGGCCGGGCCGGGGCGGCTGCACCCTATGGCGACACTACCACCTCCCCTCACCCCTCCCCTGCCTCTCATCAAGCGACGTGGACGTCCTCGCCATTAGCAGGGCCTGTCGACCTCCACCCCCACACACAGATGCACCACCTGCCACCTGCCGACCCATCCCCACACCGGACGACTCGTCTTTGCGTTAGCACACCGCACGAAGTATGGTTTATTGTGAATTCAAATCAAATTGTTCCATCCGGGAGGTTCAGTAAATCGACGGGTGCAACACCGAGAAACAAGAGTTGCTTCTCAACGGTAACATATTTTCGCGAATGTAGAATTGCAAAATGCAGAATTGAACCCAAATAAACCGTGTGTTGTGCACGGAGAAGTCAACCACATCCTATTAAAACAGTACCTGCACACAAACCTTCAGGAACAAATTTGGAATGACGGACTCTTTCCTCGTTTTTGCCGCGCATCTTACCGGCCGAATTGTTACATGTATTCCAGTTAGCAGAGTGCGCTCTTCGCGGCGTCGAGTTTGAGCAGGGAGAGCTCGGCGGAGCTTGGCGTGGCGAGGCGTGGCCCGAGTCGGGGTGAGTTAGGCCAGTGGCCGGGCCTGGCGTCCCGGCGTCCAATGTGTAACATCCCCTGCCCCCTACCTCCTCTCGGCCCTCCCAAAGCTCCCCCCCACCCCCATCCACTACCCCGCCAGACTCCACGCAGTGCTCTGTGGGCTTCGACCTCATCCTTAGCGCCCCACCTCCCCTCCCCCCCTCCCCCGTCCCGGCCTGGCCCGGCCAGGGTACTGAGAAGAGCAGCGTGGAGCAGTTTGAACTCACCGCAAGGTCGATGGGGGGCAGCGGCTCGAGGGGCGAGTCCGCCGTGGGGGGCGGCGGCGGCGTCCAGCATGCCGGGTCCGTCCGGCACGGCGACGGCGAGGTGTCTACGGTGGCGGCGCCCTTGCGCGAGGGGCACAGCCGCGCCGGTGACTCCTGCAAGCACGTGCTGCAATTAGGGACAGGAAACACACACAGACGAACACACACGCACACACACTTGTACAGGGCGGGTCACGAAGCGCGGGGCGGGTGGCGGCGGCACGTATAGTCAAGCCACTTTGGCTTCTCATTTGTGGGAGAAATCCAGGCCGAGAGGTGGCGCGGGAGCGACACAGAGAGAGCGAGGTGGAAAAAGAGGGCAGAGAGCGAGAGGAAGACGGAAAATGTCTGAAAGCGAGAGCCCCGACATCGCGGTAATGACAGCGTCCAGAAAAACCGTTTCACTCTCAGGGATATGGAGGGACGAGAGACGGACGACAGACAGGGAGATACACAATACACACCGAGGCGATCCCTTGCCTCGGCTCGCCTCGGCCCAGGGCGCGCGCGCTGCACGCCCCCTCCCCGCCCGCCGCGCGTTTTCTTTGCCATTCAAGGCCAACTTTGGCCAAGTTTGGCGGCAGCACGTTATACTATCCAAGCGAGACCGGGGGGCGCAGAGGGGCGCGCAGAGGGGCGCGCGGATGAAAGAGGCGGAAAAGGAGTTGGGGGAGATGGGAGGTGGCGGCCCTGTACGTGACAGCAATTACACCGCGGGTTATCGCTCCTGATAAACATGAGATTAAAAAAAGGGAAGGAGTAGGCCACTTAATAAATTAGCGATCGTGCTCAGCCTGTTAAGAGATTCCTAATTACCGTAGTTGAGACAGATAAGAGGGCTCGCCCATAAATCACGCCCAATTCTTTGGAAAGGGCTTTTTTCTTCTCTCTTTTCCGGGGAGGGAAGCCCATCTTTTCCGCTAATCTGCTTCAGCCCCGTCTGGAATTCATTTATGACTTTTACTGTGAGCCGAAAGACGGTTAACGCGGGTTTGAGAGAAAACTATTATCGTAGTCGCATTACTGCTGTTGTTAGACTCGCGAATCTTAGAGGAAGGATTGTAGTATCTGGACAATACCGGACACCGCTACGAAATAGCCGAATAGCTAAGCATGGCATGAATTAGAAAATACTCAATAAAATCCATTACTAAAGGTCATCTAACATTCATAGCCAACTTCTGTTCGCGTGGATTAATATGTATCTCTAATAATTTTCTCTAATAATCATTTTATTAATGACAGTGCAGTTACAGAAGAAAACGTTTTCCTACGCGGAGGTAGATGTGGGAGGTTTCGCAAGTCGAGGGGTAAACAGGCGGGGAAGGAGAAGCAGGGAGGTACCCCTGACCTGAGAAGTTTGCTTATATCGAGGCGTAGGGCGTAGCGTGGCGTCGGAGTTGCCGGTGCCGGTAGTGCGGCGAGGGGCGGGACGGGGCGGGGCGGGACGGGACTGGTAGCCCAGCAGCACCAGACAATTACACGGATCAGCTCCACAAGGTCAAAAGGGAGGAACAGCGGCACGTGACACACCTAAACTCCCCGCAAAATGAAATGACCTGCGGGTGAGGGGGAGTTATACTAGGAAACAGGGACCACCGCTTGGCGAGGGATACTTTCGCGGATTGAAAGGAAAAGATGGTACAAAAAAAAGTAAAAACACAACTCATGTCCATGACAGCAGATTAAAAAACAATGCAGATGGAAACACAAAATTGATTTGGGGCTAAAAATGGTCCTCGTTATTGAAATAGTCCCTGTTACACTCAGTGCCGTTTATTAAGGACGACTAGTTTTCTCAGAGCAGTGTATTTGTAGAAGTGATGAAAGTCTTTTTGTTTAAATGAATAATAGTATTTGGGAAAAAGGGGGAGGGGGGTGCGCGCCGAGCGAGAATAAAGGTGACAGTGGGGGATCAACCGTTCCAATCGCGACATTTTGCGAACGCAGCATGACATATTTGACATTTACTCGTCGTATGCCTTCATTCGAAAGAAACTATCTAATTTGTAAAGTCAAAAATTTAATTTTACCAGCAAGTGTTCAGAAATTGTTAAACAAAGGAGAACTTCTTCCGCTCATTGAATATTTTCGAAAAGAAAACGGCCGTTTTCCGGAAACTACAAAATTATTTTAAAATCTGTTTTTGCCTATGATTGTCCTTTTCTACTCCTGTGACAGTGGTGCCAGCAATGTGACTGCCGATCCAACTTGTAATTTAGGGTGCAAGCTTGCTGTACCCCCAGCCTATCTGCCATCTGTCCGCTCGGATCGTCCACCGCGCATCTTCGGCTACTGATGAGAGAGAGAGAGAGCACTCGCGTGTGCGCGCTCTCTCGCACGCTCGGCGAACGGGTAAAGGGACCCGCCCGTTTGAGAAAACTGGTCCGTCGTCGGGTCACAAAGGTGCCAGGTAAGTGCTTTCAGGGTTAGACTCTCCTCTACCGTGAACTAGACCGCGAATATCCTCTTATGGCGAGGCGCGCAGGACGGCACTCGGGCCGCTCTGCACGGCCGTCAGCACCCCGCCGATCGCCGATCCTGCCCACACTTCCTCCCACCCTGCTGCTAATTTCTCCACCTTCCTGATATCAGCCCCCCTCCACCTCCCCACCACATCGCCCCTGGAGGCCACATAAATCACGAACAAACGCGGAGCCAAGCAAGGCGAGGCGAGGCGCGGCGGCGCTCCCCGCTTCAGCTACTCGATGTGCAAGTTTTCACCGAACCGGCTTTGGAGGGAAGCTGGGGGATGGGGGTGTGCCACCGCTGTCTGCTGGCTTGGGGAAATGTGGAGGCGGAGAGGGGGAGAGAGAGGGAGAGAGGGAGAGAGAGAGAGGGGGGAGTCGGGAGGGTGAAGAGCCCAGGCGGAAAAGGGCAGAAGAGGGGGATGGGAGTGGGGTGAGAATTAATGACTACGAGTTAATCAGTTAGTTCTTCTGAGCCCGCCACCCAAACACGATTGGATTAGGGAGGGCGCCGGCCTGCTCCGCTCCGCCCCGCCGCGCGCCACCAGTCAAGGCCTCCGCTGGGGAATGTAAGTCGAGGCAGATGCGGCCCATTTGTCATCGTTCTAAATAGTAGCACGGCTGTGCTCCAGGGGGCGGCGAGCGGGCGGTGAGCGGGCGGGAGCGGATGGCGAGCAGCGTAACCCCCGGCGAGGAGCGAGCGACGGGGGGCTCTCCACCACTTCAATCGCAGTCATTGCGCTGCTTATTCAAGCTCGGCGTTCCACCACGTCCCGCGTCCCTCTACTTTCTCCGTGAAACACGTCCCACCCCACCCCCTCTCTTTCCTTTTTTTTTCAACCTCCTCTCTTTTCCGTCTCAAAATTTGCTATTCAGCAATCTCCCCTTCATCTACGAACAACAACTATGCTGCTGCCGCTGAGAGCCGAGGCGCGGCGGGGTGCTGCTCGCTCTCGGACTCAACTTACGTCGTTTATGCTAACGACCCAACAGTTTTTCCGAAACAGTCTCTCCGCACGCGTTCGTGCCGAACGCAAAGAAGTCGGGGCGAAAGAAAAAGGAAGATGCATGAAAAAGATCCAAGTTCCCCCAGCAGGCGGGTATTAAAATGAAGTGGGGCCGGCGGACCACTGCTGCTGCATCCTGCAGCGTCTAGCCCAGCTGCCGGGGGAGGAAGGGAAGTCGAACGTGTTTGTTGTCCCGCTTCATTCTCGCATCACTGGCTTATTTGTCCAGGCGAAATGCCCAAAGAAATAAACCATAGCGGTATACAACTCCGGAACAAGAAAAGCTTAGCCAGCGGGATGGAAGTTTTTGAAAGATGATCGCGGCGCCTCTGGGCATGCGTGCATGTGTGAGTGGTGGGCGGGAGAGCGGCAGAAGTGGGGGAGGGGAGGGGGAGGCAGAGGAGTCCGGCTGGAGGGCCCGGGCGAGCGCAGCAGCGCAGCAGAGCAGACCACACCGCCATGGCATGCTAATATTAAACGAGAGGAATGCTGTTGCACCGGAGGCTTCATGCGTCAGTCAGGCCGGGCGTCGGCATCGCCGCCACAGCAAACAATATCATTCTCGAGCAGATTTATATGGGAATATAAACCGCATTTTATCGCGAGCGGACGAAAAAACGCAGCGTAACTTTGTTCAATGTATACCATATTGGTGTGAGTGATCTTTATCCCACAAAACCGCCACACTGACTTGGATCGTCTTTTATTAGTACAAGGTTAGAAATTTCGTCGTTAATAAAAACAGTGTTGGGCATCAACGCGTACGATATGATGCATTTTTGCGCATAAATTTTTCGACTAAACGAAAGGTAGGTGTAACTTATGACTAATGTTTGCAAAAAATATACTATACATCGTTGTATCCGAGTGAAGCAAAGGCAGCAGGCGACGGCAGGCAAAAAAAAACAAAAAACAACGTCGGTTTAATTATTATTGGCACCACATGTTGTGATAGTAGAGGGCTAAAAAAAAAATATAAGCCCGCATACGCCACCATGAATAGCTGTATTTTGGTCCGCATTGAACAGCACACTGAGAAAAAAAAATCTGCCTCAGCACTATATGTTTAGTCCCCAGATCGACGTTTTTTCGTTGCACTATACGTCTAGCGCTGGGAGCTAAACGTAGCATCCCAGGCAAAGAAAATTTAGACCACAGCACTAAAACTCAATGGCAGGTCACTATCTCATTTTGAGCTGGGACAAAAGTCGGGAGCATTAGACGTACGTTCAGTGCCCGGACAGAAATATTTTTCTCAGTGCAGTTGTCCGGCAGGAGACCACAGTGTTGTTGTGCCGACAGGACCGTCCGTTACGCGGGTGGCCCAGCTGCGGCCCGGCCGCCCCCCAACTGCAGCCCGCCGGGCAGCCCCGCCGAGCCCCCCGCCCCCGCCCTTCGCAGCGCACATGGGCCAGCGGGCGCCAGCAGCGGCCGGGACCCAGAACTTGTTACGTAAAAACAGGGAAACAACGGGAGGGGTTTTATTCGCCAGCCGGAAGGAAGGCGGCCCTACAAAGTCGAGTAATTCAAATTTGCGACTTAGAATCCCCCAGTAAATTCGCCACTCTCCGCGCTGGAGATGTTTGTGCGTGCGGCTGGGGGTCGAGCGAGCGGCGCGGTGGTCTCCCCGCTGCCCCCT